GCTGCTTTAGTTGTCTTCTTTTCTTTTTTTTTTTTTAATCAACCCTACATGTATTAATATTTCCAATCTCTCATGAAAGAAAGAAATGCAGTCCAGAATATTTTGAGATGCTGTGAAGAAATATGCAGCCACACCCAACCACACTGGACAATGCTAATTGATTCTGCCTTCCAGCCTCTGAGTAGGCACGTCCTTCACTAAGCCTAAAACGCCTTTTCTCAGCTCCCCTGACACTCCTTTTGGCTTGACTAACTCTAATTCATCCTTTGGAAGCTAAGGTGCTACCTGCTAAATCAAGCCTTTCCAGGTGCCTCCTCCTTCCTCTCCTATCCTCAAGCACTTCAGACTGCCTTCGGGTCCCCTTTTCTGTGCTCTTACAGTACTTTCTACTTGTCTAATGTAGAACCTACTGCATTACTGTAATTGCCTATTTCTTGACTCTGTCCTCACTAAACTGTAGGCCGGGGACTCTGTCTTATTCCTCATTGTATCCCTTGTGTCTACTAGAGCGCCTGGCACAAAGCAATATTGAACCATTGAATTTATACAAGTCAAATGTGCTAAACTCAATTCCCTTCACTAGTTTACTCCATCACTCAATATCACACTTTTATCTTGGCTGGCAAGAGTTATTATAATAAGACCCTTGGCCTATAATTTAAATTTACCAGTTCTGAAAGCCTTTCAAACTTAGATATTTGTACCAAGTATGTGCCCATGTGTATGGTGGGACTGGCCTTTCTATAGAACTATGCATTTGTTCATATGAACACTCAAGCAGACTTCTGATACATAAAACTGGTAATCCACTAAATGATTCTCTTCCATCCAGAGGCATAGATTTTCCAACAACTGATTCCCTGATAAAGTCATTGATAAAAAATGAGTAAATTGGAAACATATATGTAGCAATTGTTTAACCTAGCATACTAGGTGGATCACTTTAAAATTAAGAATAAAAAGAATTATCCAGTGTGTTTGATATCATTTTCATCATTCAGTTTTGTATGTGTGTGTTTGTACAATTTAAATGTGGATTTTTTTTATTTGTGAAAAAAGATGGGCTGGCTTATCTTATAGTGCCAGATAATCCAGCAACACGGGTATATATTTCATTGACATTAAGAAAGACTAGTACCTTTATTTTTGCGATTGGGAATTCACTAAAATCATTGCAAATTGCCTCAAAGTGAAGATTGTTTATATTAATTCTTTCCAGGAAAAGGTTATACTCTCTGCAAAAATAATATCGTTATTTAAACAATCAACATATTCTCACAGGTGAAAGGATCTATGAGCATGAGCTAGATGTGTTCACAGACAGCAACACCTCTTTGAATAAAAAAATGTCTGTCCTGTCAATGGCTGGTAATAAAATGTTTTTCTGGATTAGCCCAGCTGTATACCTGGGTCATACTCTGTAGATTTACAATGATGAATATTATATTTTCCAAAACTGAAAATGTATTTAATCCTTTATTGGAAAAAAGATAAATGAATGCCTTACTTGTCAAAAGATATTTGAAGAAATCATTTATGTTACTTTATTACCTCGTAGTATATTATTCAATTGTGCAAATTTCTGTGCAGTTCAGTACAATTTGCAGATATTTTATATCATTAAAGGAATAACATACCTCTTAACTGAAGACTTTTTAATTTAAGTGAATGAATTTCTTTTGTGGAATGACGTTGTATTCCCATTAAGTACATTAGTAGTTTTCTCATGGCCTGTTTTGTAAAAATCAAATTATATGATCATCATTAAACACTTCCTGAGATATAATTAATTGTGGCAGTGTTTTGTAGGTGATGGCTAAAAGTGAATGTGTCATTAACACACCCACACACACACAGAAACACAAATTTTTTATTCAGTGAGGGACCCTCATGTCTTCCATTTACTTCACGATCAGAGGCCTTTAAATATTTTGATATGCTGTCATTTCCTAATGTGTGTCAGTTATGTGTCCTTGCTTGTGAGCACTATTTCTTAAAACTTGGTTGTCATGGTTACTCTTGTTACCATTGGCCAACTAACATTTAGCCTTTCTTTTTCCTTTTTTGCTGCATTAAAATGGAGCAGTAAACCTGACAGGTGAGGAAGAGAGAACAAACCTCTTTAATGCTCAGTAAGGAAAAAATAAGAAACTGGTAGACTTTGGAGCTATTGAAGAGGTGAGGGTGGGGGCTGGATATAAAAGATAATAATACCTGGCGAGTGGAAGATGGACAAAGCCTACATGTATTCAATAGTTTTGATATTAAAATGATTCTGGGGGAAAATAAATAAAATATTTTGTCTACATAAGAAAAAAAAACCATTATCTTTACAATCAAATTTAAAAGTTAGTAAAACCACTCTGAGTTTTGTTTGTGGTCAAGGGTAAATGAGCATTTGTATGTGTTAATGTGTTTATAGAGCAGAAATGTGAGGTGTCCTATAAGCCTTTTTGTTTTGTTTTGTTTGTTTTTACCAAAGATTAGTTTTCAAGTTTAATCATGGATCAACTCATGATATAGGAAGGAATAATAGCATTTTCAAACCCTGCAAATATTGATGGCAGTGCTTTAGTGAAAACACTTACCTTATTCAAATTATTATCCATGTCTTCCAGCCTTGAATAATAATAGCAATTATAATAATAGCTAGAATATATACTGTGTGATCACTGAATGATTAGTACAACTAACCTCATTTTCTAACTCGCATATATACACACGTATATGTATATATATATATACACACTTATCATTGCATAGAAATATCACATATATATAATTTCCTCATTAAAATTAAACTAAGAAAAGTATCTCAAAAGATCGTCTGCCTTCCTCCTTGGTACTGTATTGCAGTGGTTCTCATTGAGTAGTCTCTATACCAGCAGCAGTAGCATCAGTATCACCTGGGAACTTGACAGAAATACAAATTTGCGGGCTCCACCTCAGACCTATTGAATCAGAAACTCTAGGCACTGATCCAGCAGCCTGGATCTTAACAAGCCCTCCCAGGTGATTCTGATGCATGCTAAAGGTTAAGAACTGCTGCCACATTATTTTCTCTAAAATCATTTTACATTAGTCAGCAGGCCACATGTTCAGCGACAGGAATCTTAAAACCTCTGTGAAGGTGTCTTTTTGTGTGTGTGGACATCTCTAGTTGCCATTAATCCAGCGGAAAAACATGCAAAATAGTTTTGTGTTTTTTAGGCAAAAGACAAAACACTTTGAATCCATGTAGTAGACTCAGAGATCTACCTTCCATTATAACACTGTCCACATTTTACAACTTATTCACTCACTGTCTTCTTATTCTGTTAAGAAAAGAGAGTTGGGCCAAAACTTAGATATCAACTCCTAATTTTCCACCGTTTTATAAATGAAGAAACTGAGAAGAAGGTTTGTAGTTGAGGTACACCAATAGTGGCAGAGTTGGGATTACATTCTTAATGTTATCATCATCAGAATCATGAAACATTTGAACTGATTTCTTTGACTAATAAGAGTAGAGATTTCCAATAAGTGCATCTTTCTTTCAAAAGCCTGTGCCCATATCCGTGTTCTATGACCATAATATGATCTTCCACACAGCCTCCCTTTGTTCTTGCTTCACCCCCTAGATGAGAGCCAGGTGAAAGAAGTAAAAATAAAACACTCCTTAGACCACAGAGTAGCATTTTTATTGTACAACACCCGTATCCCAAATAACCACATGCTTTTATACTATTAGCAGTTTCTGCCAGATCTGAAATGTCGTGTGATCTTCTATTTCCTTTTCACCCCGTAACTCCTGCACGTGGTAGATACTTCTCATTGTAAGAAATAAACTTGTACTTTATAAGGGTTTTATAATCTTAACAGAAAAAATATAATGTCACAAGGCAAAATTTAGAATTTGTTTCTAGTCATTATTCATTTCATTTTTCTAATTGGAAATGAGAAAGATGAGACCTCTAAAAACTTTTCAGGAAAATGTTACTTATATTCATATTGAACTTAGACAATTATGTCTTTTAATATTGTATGACAATAAATTCAGTTTTTAGAAGCTCTTTACCATTATTACTAATGATGACCAAACTCTTCATCTTCCACATCTTTCTTAGAAATTTTTTCTGCGTTGGAAAACAAGCATTCTAGCACATAAGTATTTAAAAATAATGTGATAAGAATGTTGACAGCCAGAATTATCCATGTTGTGATGATAAAAATAAAACTAAGCAAAACAAATTTAAACAGTTGGTTTTCTATCTGGTTAGGATTTTGGGAGTCTGAGGTCTTGGAAGTCATTTCATATGAACAGATAGTGAAGGAGAAATTAGTTATTAAATGTCAGCATACCCCTCCCAGTTCATTACAATTATGAATTGTAATTTTCATCTTATGACCTGGGTTTTCTGAGACTCATATATATCTTGGCAACAAGATGTGATTTCCACTTTCCCTAGTACCAGAGAAGTTGGCAAAATTTCTTTAGAGAGTGTTCTTTTCTATCCCTCCAGCTCAGTGTCACTCAGCCCAGCCTCAGGGAAAAGGAAGATAAGGAGGTTGTTCCACAATACCTGCAATAGTGATGCAGTTTTCTTGCCCAGATACTTCTAATTCTGGTTTCCATAATCTCACAAGAATGACAGTAGAGCTACCTTAGGAAGGGAGAAAAATGCAGGCTTTAGTCATTGGGTCTGATACATCACTAAAGAAATGCATCGGTGCCAACTCACACAGAAAGACCGAAATCTAAGAAGGGGCACTGCTATTATTTGAAGTGAGAAGAACAACCATATGTTTCATATGGGTTTCATTGGCTAGCCACATTTAGTGACATTTCATTAACCTATTTCAGTTTTGCATCTTCAGCAGTAGAATGAATCTCAGTGTGGTGAGGCAAATATCCATAGCATGAATACAGTGACATTGTCTACTCTGAAACTGGTCATCATCTCCTTTCTCATTGTCTTCTGAGGCCCTCTTTTTATGCCTTCTTATTTCTTTCTCATCAGCCCTCCATCTCTTCCTTTCCTTTCCTTTCCTTCGTACTTTCTACTCCATGTGACTGGAGCTGCCAGTACCTGTGGCAGCTCTCAGAATCAATGCTCACCTCTGACTGGTAATAAGGCTTGGCAGTACATTCTGTCCTAAGGCTGCACCTGACACTTTTAGGTAGAAAGAGGAAATCTTGGGACAGGTTAATCCACGGTACTGAGAAAACAAGGCGTCTAATAGGACTCCACCATGTAAATTTATTCCATCTGGGATGTTTCACCAAAGGCATTGCACTTAAGCAAATCAAGCACACTTCCCCTTTGCATCAATCTTCCCTTCATCCCCTGGTTAGTTTTATTTTATACAGATGAGCAGAAATGGGAAGAAAGGCTATTTAACAGGAGCCCTCTGGCTAACCGTAGAATAGCCTGGGTGGCATTGAATGAGAGCCCATTGCCACAGCAACACTAATGAGCTAATCGAACAGAGAAAGGGAGAGTTCTAAACACTTGGCAGCACCCTTTTCCCCAAATAAAAATGCCTTTGCTTTCAGCAGGGGTGAGAGGCTAGAATTAGGACTCTAGCATGGAGATTGCTAGAATTATATTTGGAAAAAAAGCACAGTTTGAAAACAATGTCCATTGGTTAAATGAGTTTTAAATCTAATTCAAGCTGGAAGAAGATAGATAGTTACCACTCGGTGATTATTTGAGTTTTAAAAAAAATAGATAAATCTTATGTACAAATCTGACATTTCTTGTTAGAAATTTGTTAAAATTACATTACGATAGCTTAAAGACAGGTACTTAGTAAAGCTAATGGGTAGCTTTTAAAACAGATAAAATGTATCGTATGAAGAATCACACTGTTAATGGCACTTTGAATGTTCGTCAGGAGTGTTGATCTACTCACCCAGTGAAATTATTTTTTCTCTGATCTTTCTGTGATTAACTTTCATTAAAAAAATATTAATCACAGCTTAATACTGTAAATAACCAGTGCTATTTTTTTCCTTCAAACTTGAACGAGAAAGGGGATGTTGGTTTCGTGTGGTCTCAATTCTTCTAGGTATTAGGATTACTTAACGTCTTAAAAATGCACTTGCTGTATTTGCCTGCATTGTGGGAAAATCCCGTGCAGCTCCACATTGTAGCCACCAATGATATACACTTAGAAAGGGGTAAGGGGGGGCAGATTTAGCTGTTCAGCTTGAGGCCAGGTAGTTTCTCTGTGATAACAACAATCTTAGCGTTGGCTACTAGGGATATCCTGTCCTGTTCCTCACAAATAGAACTAGTGGATAAGAGGGAATTAGTCAACAAGGGTCTAAGCATATCTCACCAAGACCCCCTTAAAGCCTGAAGGCACAGTCACTCAATTATTTAATTCTAGAGTTGAAGGAGAACTTCAAAAGGAGGTCTTCCCTTAAACAACAGTTCAAGTGGACTTCACTTAAAAAAAAATCTTTAGACCTGAGGAAACACTGTAGGCCAAGAGAGAAAAAGCAACTTGAACAAAGTCACGAAACTAGCCAGGTTAAAAAAATTTTAAAACTGAAAACTTAGGGGATGGATGGAAGGAATGCAGATGTAACTCTCTGCTTTTTTTATGTTTCAGTTGGTTTTTGTTTTATTCTTAAATTCTGATTTTCTCCCCATAGGAAGAGAGCAGAGTCCGACTCTAGAAAGAGCAGCATACCGAACAGTAAGGAGGTCCCGTCACACCACCCAACAGACCCAGTAGAACTGAGGCGCCTTAATTTTCAAACACCAGGTAAGAGGCACAGCACATTTGATTCAGTAATGAAGTCTTTACTGAAAGTTTATAGCCCAATTGATGCTGTCTTGAGAATTGAATATCTCACTTTATTTAGAACCAATTTTTCATCCTGCTCTTTTGTTTTAATATTATTGAGACTTGCCCAAGCAAAAGTTTGAAAGGAAATTAAATTCTTTGTGGAAATCTGAAGTGGGATAGGGAAGAAAAAGAAATGTAATTCTCCTTCAAATTTTGGAAGCACTATAGTCTTTGTAGGAATATCTACCATTTTTACGAGCTTAACAGTTTATTATTTTCAGTGACACCAATGTGAAAAGAGCTCAGTTTCTCATCTTATAAAATGAATGAATGAATCAATGGATGAATGTATACATCTGTCACCCCATTGGGAAAGCATAGATTTGTTCTCTATTTTCCTATTTCTTTCTGTTTGTGATAATCTGAAAGAAAGAGGAAGAAAAGAAGAGAGGAAAGGGAGGGAGGGAGGAAAATATAGCAAAATTGTGTATCTTTTAAAATATTACCTATACTAAATCTCACTGACCATTTCAGGTTTCTTACTAGGGAGACATATAAAGTGACTGAAGATAAGAAAAATATGCTTGTTTCTTAAAATAAAGAACATTAAGTGCTTCAACAGAGGAAAACTACTATTCTCGCTGAGGGACATTGGAACAATATTGTTAAGTCAAGCCTAGATCTGTTTTGCTTTCTTTGAACTAAAGCTTGTTTATAGCAAATGAATGGCAACTAATGAATTGTAGAGAGAGCTAAAAATACACAACTGAGTGGCACTACTTTATGATAATGAACAAAGTAAAAAGCTGATCTAAGAAGTCTTTTGGGTGAAAATTTGGTTGTAGTATTGTGCCCCAAAGTGTTGAAAAGTTTCTCTTGTGTTATATGCATGTTCTGACTCACAATATGATACACTACAGATTTATTAAACTACACATTCACAGTGAATTACTTTGAATTGAAAATACATGGTTTATTATGATTTGCATATTTTCTCTTTTACATGTAGGTAGATATAGTAACTAGCAACTCTTCAGTTGAAAGAAATGGTCAGTGTTGGTGGTATATTGGTGAGCATAGCTGCCTTCTAACTGAAAGAAATGTTTAGCATTTTCCATTTGGCTATATAATCAATCATAAATCTGAGGTTTTTTTAAAAAAATTCTAACTCCAATGAGGTTAGACTTTTTCAAAAATTGTGTTTTTTAAAAAGCAGAGATATACCTTCATCAGAATAAAGGTGGAAGAAAACGTTTAGGTAGCCAAAAATGTCCTGTGTGCATTAAAAAGGGGCTGATAAATTTAGCCTGTGGATGTGTGCATGATGATGGAACAAACTCATGTCATCTTCAAGGGTGATTGTAGTCCCCTGGGCGCTTCCTGTTGAGTTCTCCTCTTAGAGCTCCATTAAGGCAATATGATATAAATTAAATTGCTCTAGTAAATTTTCTTAGTTGAGCACTTTTTGAAATAGGAGTATACTGACTACTTCAGGTTACAGGCAACTTCTTAATAATGGACCCAGGAATTTGTGTACCTTTCCAATTGGCTAACTCAATATATAGAGGGCCCAAAAGTTGAAGAAATTTTCTGCTACATGATTCTTTGTCTATCTTGCCTCATCATCCTTTGCAAGAGCAACACATTGTGGAAATAGAGAAAATAATCAGATTTCTCAGTACCTTGCTGCTGCCTCTGCTTCCTCTGACTGTGCTGGAACCAACCTTGGTCTTCCACCACAGGCAGAACACAGCACAGGGTTGAGTGCAAAGGCAAAGATAGCCCCGAAAGAAGAGAGCCAATGGGAGTGCCACTCCTTACCTCCTCTAGCATCAACAGGGAATATTTCCAAGCGTAAATACAAAACATGGCTGGAAACTGTGTAGAGAGGATTATTAGCAGTGTGCTGTTGACTACAAACAAGAGAATAGGAATGCCTTCAACTAAGAGACCTCTGTCTGCAAGTACTTCTCACTTTCGCAGGTCATTTTGCAAATGTAGCCTAATGTAAGGTTTCTATGAAGAATTTAATTTTCTAAATGTATGTGGGAATATTCAATCCATTTATAGAGAGAATCTGTTAAATTTTATATAAGACACTGGAAAGAAGAATAAATGTTACAATTGCAGTAACATCACTTGTATCACCGATGGTTTTATAAAATGAAAATAGAAACCTAAGTGTATAGGAAGGTGTCATTTAACTCAAGTTTTATCACCTCAGATGGATAATGGAATAAGTGGGCAAAATGAGTATAGAAAAAGAGAGGAGATGTAGAAGAGAAGAGACTAGAAAAGAAGTTGTCCTAAGATCCTAGCACATCTGTTCACTCAGGAAGCAGTATATTGTGCCCTTTAGCTCAGGTAAACAATCCACTTAAGCTTGATTTGTTGAAATAGTCTATTTGCCTCCCAAACTTTATGATGTGTCCTGCTGTCCTGAAAATTTTACCATTTTACAAAGGAAATAGACTCAGCTGCTAATATGGATTCATAGAGATGTGACTCTCTGCTTCGGCCAGTATGGATTCCAGCCAGTGGCTGTGAATTACCTTAATTACTTGCCAATAGGATGAGAGCAGAAGGTGGGATTGTTAACCAAGCAACCTTCCTGTGCTTTTTCCTCTCTTCCTATTCACAAAGACTCAAGAGTTTTCCTGGATGATTAAATAAAATGATCCTTTATTATGTGTTGCACAGCAAGTGCTGTAACTTTACTTAATTTTTAGATTTTTAAAATTCTTTCCATTTCACTAAAATGTGCTTTTATATACATCATACCTATGAATGTGTAATTACTTATCCCCAGACATTATAACATTTGAGAATATTTGTTAACAATATGCTTAAGTGGGGAATTAATAACCTATGTCTTCAAAAAAAATGACTTTCAATGAAATAAAAAAAGCTGTGACTTATATAACTATGCCTAGCACAGAACTTGTTAATGAAAGCAAATTGATTTTCACTTCTGATGGGGCTGCCGTGAATGATAAATGCCAAGCAAACATTACCATTTGAAATTCAGCAGGCCTTTCAGCAGGTAAAGGAAGCACATTGCTTTAGTTCAGTGATTCTGTAAATTCTACTTTGTTAAAAAAAAATCGTCTTGTGAATGAAAGATTCATTTACATTTTAAGTTGTATATTCCTGTAGGAGAGTCTAGATTTGAGTCAGATCTTTTTTCCTCTATTCTGCCTAACATTCCAAATTTCATATAAATACAGCGTTTTGACAATTTAAGTACATGAAAGAACTGTACCCTTAAATGCGGGACCACAAACACACTTTGGGCAGGAAAAAGCCAGAATTCTGTCCACGGTTGCTCAGCAAAGGCACAAAGAAGACAGAGAAACCTAGTTTTTTCAGTATAACCTTGTTTTGAGGTTGGGGAGGTATGGGGAAGAACATTGCTTTAGGACATTTTCAAACTTTTGGACAAGAATCAAGTCACTCCATTAATGAAATGCTACATGCAAGCATCTGAACAGGTCGGAGAAGCGCACGTTTTCACAATTGAGAGCAGGCACCTCTGCTTTAGGTATTTTCCATGATTGTGTATACCTGTCTTATTAAGGTTCAGATGGCAGTATATAGCCAAGTTATATTTGAGAGAAGCTGAGCTACCTAATCTCTTAAAAGAATAACGGTTTATGACCATATGTCATCAAGTATTGGTGTACGGGGTCAGTCAGAACTAATGTGGAGAGGGCAATTGAAGAGGCATTGCTTGTATCATTAATAATTTTGCCAAACTAAAATGGGGACTTAAGTATATAGGAAGGTATCATTTAGCTAAGAGTAGACTTATCACTTCAAGTAGATAATGTAATTGCTAGAATTATTAACTGCTGATCAAGTTTTACAAGTCTTTAAGATCTAAGGAGGAAGGGAAGAAAATATTCACTTATAAAAGATGCTTTTGAAAGAAACCTCTGTTAAGTCTCACACACGTTTGTGGACAGCAGTAGCTGTGTATTAAGATGGGTTGATAGATGTGTTACATGTTGAATAAAAGTGAATTACATTAGCCTGGGGTGGAAGGAAAGTTATTCTTTTATTTTTTTAAAAAAACGTCCAAGTTATTTTAGTTCCCCCTCCCAGTATATCTTGTTCTTAATTACAGAAGCAGTACATATTTATTGGGAAACTTATGGAAAATAGAAAATAAGCTCGTTAACAGTTGTCTATGTAGGTGTTCATTACACTATTCTTTAATATTTTTGTACATTTTAAAATTGTTATAAGTTGGGAAAGAGGCCAACAAAAGCACTTTTAGAAAAGAGAAGTTACTCTTAATCCCACTGCTTCTTATTTTTCTTTTATTAATTTGACATATTTAAAAGAAAAATAAAAGATTTCCCACCATTACTCCAATTTTACCCTCCAGAAATATTTACCATATATAGCTTCATGCGTAGCCTTCCAGAACTTTTTATTTGTATATACAGTTCTTTAAATGATAAAATATACAGCAGGTAGATAGATAGATGTATATACATACAATTTGCTGTTTTAACATTTAACTATATAAAAATAGACCTTTTTCCAAGTTAGTGTGTTGGATTTTATCTCCTTTCTAATAGCTGATGGTAGTGATGGTATTTTGTTCTGTATATATCAGAATGCTTTGACTCATTCCCTATTAATGGAGGCTAAGTTATTTCCACGTTTTGCTATTGCAGATACTACTGTAATGAGCAGTATTGAGCCCATATCTTTCACACCATCATTGCTATTTCTGCATGTTAGACACCTGGACATGGGATATCAGGGTCCTAAGATAGGCACCTTTAACCTTTTGATGGAGACTGCCAATCACAGATTTTTTGAAATATTATAAAACTTCTTTACTGACCTCTCTAGCCTGTGACCTATAGAATTGGACAAAATAACTAAGATAAATATAATATTGTCAAAAGATGGTGATATATAAGAAAGACAAAGAAATTATTGGTATGTATTCTTTTTTCTAC